TTGGTCAAGAGAATCACGCGATACCTTTCGGATATGAAACTTATTACGTGCGGTTGTGAATCCCTTTGTCATTGAAGGCTGAACCGTCTAAACCTGAGACTTTGAACGTAATGTTCAACGAATTAGCTTGAATATTCCGAAAAGTATCTGATGAGTAGTCTCTTGGTTAAGACAAAACACTGCGTCATACCAGCCACGAACTAATCTTTCACAAGTATTTGACCTTTTTTCGCAGCATAGGAATTGTCAGAAACTTTGCAAAGTCGACTCTCGCCATTACACGAGCGCGACTGATGTACTCACCTTGTACAATGAATCACTTTTGACAGGCGCTTTCAAACCCAGGTCTTTTCGAAGTTGACCAACAGTGCGCATGCCCTGCCATGTTGCTTTCTGTTCTGGCGGTAAGAGCAGTGACGTCACAGGGTTGCAGAAGTTCGGAACTGTGACCGGGTACCAGGTTCTAATGAAAACTATGTCTGGAGAACACAACAATACAAGACTCTCTGAGCGACTGAAACTTTTTATTCAGATCTCCAAGTGACCACCTTGACCAATCAGATGCGCAAGCTTGTCAGAGGTGCTTTCCCCGCACATGCTTGAATAAAGAATTGCTTCATGCTTAGCGTGCGTATATCGAATCACGGATGCACGAGGGAAGTTTGAAGAGAGTGAGAGAAGCGTAAGGTTGGCTCAATACGAAGCCAAAAACCGACTTCAGCAACATCCCACGTGGCTTATTTCGCCGGTAAACTAACATAAAGTGCGGTTTATTGCTTGAATACAACACGGTGGCTCTTTAGAAATTAGTTAGGAGAAGCGCATCTACTTTGTTACAAATTTGTTTTCTCTTCTGTTCTCTTTGTTTCCGTACCTTGTCTTTGTACAAAAGAATAAAGGGGGTAAGTTCCTAAAGAAACTATGGTGCTGCGTTGGTGGGAGTAAAAAAGTAAATTTGGGTTTTATCAACTGGGTCGATAATGTAAATTGGCCACCGTAAAGGGTTTAAAAGTCGACGTTACGAGCGTTAGCCCTTCATTGGCGGCCAAATTACATTATCAACTCAGTTGATAAAACCAAACTTTCTTTGTACAAAAGCCGGCTCTCAAAGGTAGTCGTCACTTACCACTTATCAAAATTTTGTCCTCAAATGTTGCACGGAAAGCACCCTCTGGATTCTAGTGAAAAAAGGAAAACAAATTAACAAAACAAATTAACAAAACAAAACAAAACCTCTTTAACCCTAACGAAAATGGCAGATTTGACTAAATTTCGTCAAACTGAATGATTTCGCTCTAAGGTGATTTAACTTTGACGAATTTGACTAAAATTCGTCAAAATCGTCAAATCCACGAACATTCACCAGTTTAACAAAATTCCTTTAAAGTGCCCCTGAGATCAAAATTTTCGTACATCATTTTTTCCATTTTCGTGTTCAGTGTGTCTCCTTCACCTACTCTGCCAAATTTCAGTTTAGACCGAGCACCAGAAATAACTTTTTTCGNTTGTGAGCCTCCTGGAAAGTAGCTTGTACCTAAGTGTGGCGCCACATTAAATAAAATTAACTTTTACTTTTTTGTTTTTTGTTTTTTTACTTTATGAAATCCATATGGCCTTCTGTGCTAAACGAAAGCTTTACATTATCTTTACCATTCACAGGCAGGCTTAGTCGTGTTTTAAGCGAGTACGACCTATTTAATCACGACGGTTGCATGATTTTGACCCTTCCAAGTCTCTTGATCTAGATAAACTTTTTTTTACTTTTCTTAAACCTTTCAAACACAGAACATAGACTAATCACTAATCTAACGGCCCCTGTCTAAGTTCATGCTAGGTGACCATCAAAAAATACTGGAGAGGGGTCAGTGGAAAGATTGACCTTAGAAAGATCAGTATCCCATCGGAGGGATTGGAAAGGTTTTTGCCTTCTAGATTATCGCTGACAGCTGAGATAGCCCCAGCCCTGATATGACTCTCCGTCAATTCCAAATCTAAATATGCAAAGGATTACATCTGTAAATCACCTTGATAAATGCGGTGTTTTTAAATATCTTCAAGGGTGTTCCTGTTAACTTGAGTTTCTTGACTAGTTCTACAGATTTATCCAAGTCCAACACGGTACCAGTGGCTGAGATGCGGAAATCAGACTAAAAATGGTGCAAAGGAGAACAAGAAGGAAAAAAAAAGACACTGTTATACTGGAAGTGTATATCTGAGATCATTTAGTTAACAAATAGATTCCAAGTTACCGCAAGTCTAAGAAGATGAAAGGAAGAATTTCGAATTTGATCAAAGGAGTTTCAGGGCCTGGGGCCCGTTTTTCGAAAGTCCCGGTAAAATAACGGACCCGAAGCCATGTTTTAAAATCAAAATTTTAAAGGATAAGAAAGCAAGTTCGGGCACCCAAAGCAGTCCTTTTTGTTTCTTTAGCTAATAGTTTTGTTTTATCATTTTCAAAACGTTTTAAATCCACACCTTGAATGAAAACAGAACAGCTTTACGGGCCCGTTAAGTTACCGGGACTTTCGAGAAACGAGCCCCTGCTAACTTACCATATCGCCTACTGTGCTTTGAATTGCCAGGACTCCTGTCCCAGGAGGAGCAATTGGACCTAAGAGGAAGAGGTTATAAAAAAAAAAAAAAAACCGTTTTCGTTACTCTAGTAGTTTTTTTCCAATAATACGTTTAAGCTTTGCGTAGAAAAAAGAAAAAATGATGTTCATGTGTATGGTATGCAAACATTAACGCCAAGTTTTCGTTATTCTATTTTGTTTTTCCGACCGCCGACTCTTAAGCTGCCACAGTTTTGCGCTACCTCGTAAAAAGTACGCTTGATTGAAGGTTACTTAAGCAAAGAAGTTTTTGAAACTTTGAAACGTATCCTTACCAAATAAGGTAGCCATGCAGTGAAGATGTTCAGGGGTGTACTTCAGCAATCTATGGCGGCCGTTGTGGTCCTGGACCGAGTACATCGGCAAAGTTTGAAATCTGCGCCAGCCAATAGACAAGATCAGTGGATCCCTTGTCTTCAGGATGCGCTTGTGCCAACGATGTTTCTTAAAGCGAACCTGGAAAACGATCACAGAGAGCTATATTCTCATGTTTCAAACTCAACGCAAAGAGTTGGAAAACACAAAGTTTGCCATACGCTGATGACGCGAGCTAACATTTTTCCTTGATTCTACATGATTTCAGGGTGAAAAGGCCTGGGAATCGATCCATAATGATGTCTGTCGTAATGAACACTGACCTGAAGAAAGCCCATCTTATCCTCGCTCGACAGAAGGCCACCAAGAATTACGGGATATTTGGCATCAAAGTTGGTGACAAACTCACAGGGCATACCACTGAGCTGAAATTTTGTTAATGAAAGACAAAAATTGGTGAAATGAAATATTTCTGGATAGCACTGTTTCAAGCGCGTACCATTACACCCAATGAAACTGATTTTTCTGCAGTCCTCATGAGATATCAAAGGTAAAGCAAAATATTTGGATCACCTCTATGACAGTTCACTAGATCATGAACGTTCAGATGTGACACCAAAGTCGGTCACAAGTCTCTCATAAACATTTTCTGCGCTTTGACTTCCCTTGTATCCTCTGTTTGCATGGTTTATCAATTGAAGATTGCAATGAGTATTTTAGCTGTGAAAACAATCTTAGTGATCGGTCTGGTTTTAGATTTTGCTCCAGTTTTAAAGTGCTATTTTACGACTGGTGAAGAAAGCTTGATTCATATCCAACCACACCCTCTGAAGCTAAAGTAAAAGAATATCACTACGACAGGCAAAGGAAAGAAGTAATTTGATCTTGGACTGACCTCTACCCTGACATACATTCCTGGTCTGAAGCCTTCATACTGTGCGCGCGTCTCGTCATCCATGTCTTGGAACTCAGACTGATTTAGCTGTGAACAGAAATAAATGTTAAAGTTAGCCAAGGTCTTTGTGAAAGGATCCTTTTCTTCTTTCAAAATGTACCATGAGACGTGGTAGCAGTACAGACCTGTGCTTGCTCTGTCATCTGCGCTTTGAGCTCATCATAATACGAGGTTTCGTCACCTTCATCATATCTTTGTCGGGTTAAGAAACCAAGGGAAAAAAAAAAGACTTCACGCTCATACCCATTCTTTGCAATCATATCAAATGTACACAAGACTTAATGCAAGCTAGTAAAATTAGAACGAGCAGCAAGGAAACCGGGCCGGGTTGTTCAAAGGTGGGTTAAGATAACCCAGGGTTACCGTGAAATTTAATTGAAGATCTGAAAGCTTTAAAATTAATTTCACTTTAATTCCACTTGTTTACAATTTGTTGATTGAATGCTCTAAGAAGAATTGGGAAAATTATTTTAAAACGGCTTTTGAACAGAGAAAAATAGAAACCTGGATTAAAATTCAACCCTGGGTTAGTGCTAATCGGTCTTCAAACAACTGGGCCCCGGTCTATAACCGCTAATCGTCAGGCCCCTGTTGTTCGAAAGGTGGAAAACGCTATCCACTAAATACATCTCTATTCGGTGGACAGCTTTATCCGCTCTTTGAACAACCGGGCCCAGTAAAATATGATTGTAATTTAAACATATTATTGCCTTTGCGCTCCTCCACTCCAGCCTCACCGTCTAGTAAAGGAGAAAGCATTCTGAAGGTAACAGTGAAATTTTATGATATCAGGCAGGGCTCAACACTAACTTTTCAACTTACTAGCCAAGCGGAAATCGAAAACCACTTGGCAAACCTGAATTTCTACTAGTCTGTGGCTAGTGGGCTACCGTTAGGGTCGAGCCCTATCAGGTTCACGTGTTTCCAAGATGAAACTGACCCAACAGTTAACACTATTCACAAATTGATCAATGAACTTTCCATGAGTAAGCAAATTAGTTCGTTATAAAGGATACGTTCCATCAAATGCCGCCTTCTGTTTCTTTTTCATTTCCATCCTCCCATCACCTCCGTCAGCTTTCTCCTGTTCATTTTCATCCTGTTCATCTTCTTCCCCCTCCCCCTCAGATTCCTGTTTGTCGCCAGCCGTATGCACTTCACCAGTCTCCAGATCTTCAAAGTCTCCAAACAAGTCATCATCAGAAACTGAAAAAGAAAAAGAAAAGCGTTATTTAATTTGTGTTTCTTTGCGTTACCTAATTTATTGTTGCAAATACATGTAATCACGATCAGCTTTCAGTTAAGTGTTAAAAGTAATCCGGGTCCCATTCCATTTAGCGGTTTTGCTTGACTTCGCTCAGGTACAAAAATAAATACCAATCATGACTCTGTCACTCGAGTTTTCCCGCCCTTCACTTTCACTTTTCATTGGTTCCCTACAAAATTCTTCTTTCTTCCGATTGGCTGTAAAAATTAACTTGACTTCACAGCATTGAACCGGAATGCACTCTATTAGAAAAGGACGTTAATGCAATCTATATGATCATACTTGTGTCATCGTCTTGAAGGAGCATCTCGGCATCTTCAGAATCTTTCCATTTGCCCGTCACGAAATAGTCCCGGATGCTCTGAAGCACTTCGGGTTGGCTCCAATCCCTCAGCGGCGTAGTAATAACCTCAAGTGAGCAGTCTCTCTCGTGTGCAGTGCCTTTACTTTCAGAAGCTTTCATGGACTTCAATTTAAATATTCCTCCGATAGCGTCGTCTTCACTATCTTCGTCTTCTCTCTCTTCTTTCTTGCCTTGAAGAACTGCACACAAAAAAATGGTCATTGATGCCGCTTGAATAAAGTGTAATCACACAAAAACATCTCTCACTCAGCTTTCGACGAAAATGACACAGATAATTGGAGAAAGGGGAGTCGAGACAAATAACAGTGTATCACTGCGATGGCAAATCAAGGGGGGTTTACAGATTCTATTTTCTGAGAAGTTTTTTTCGCCGGCAAAAACAACTTCTTACTTACCGAACCATAGGATCGTACTTGGGATTACTGGCCCGAATTTGTGGCAGTGCGAAACAAGCGCAGCGAGGTCCGTACAAGAACAACTGAGGGTCAATATTCCTCAGTACGGCTCAAGCAACCGAGGATACTAAAAAAATTATTAAAAGTCACTCGGACTGAACTTATTCCATTTGAATTTGCTGGCTTTCGAGAAAACTAAACGGCTTATAATCGTTTCTGTGGAGACCGCCCTTATAGCAAAATCTCAACCAAGTACGAATCAATCAGAACGCTAGGATTTACCTCAAAACTACCTTGCCATTAAGCAATTAACAATTATTCACCGAAGTGGAGGTCTAGTTGTTTAAGTGTATACCACACAGAAAAAACAAAAAAATTAGTTTATTTTCGACCAAATAATTAGTCAGAGATGAAATAGTTGACGCGCGATTTTGTCTCCTCTGCTTCTTAGAGATGAATAGTCCTTGCTAATCACTTCCTAACCAGCCAATCAGAGCGCGCGAAAAGCACTATTAATCTGTGTGGTGTATACTAATATTGTATGCAGTATCAAATTCCGACTGCGCTCTCTGATAAATTTTTGCACACCATGGTTACTTTTTCGAGTTGAATTTACATAAAAAACAATCGAGCAAGGAAATAAACATGTAGTCATACTGGGCCCGCAGTAACTGGCGCAAGCTGTTGCGATGTCCCTGCCTGTCGGCGAAGCTGATAAATTACAAAAAAATTAAATTACAAATTACAAATCAATGTTACCATTTCCATAAACAAGTTTCTGTATGTTTGGCCTGTCTCGCTGGCGCTGAAGAAATGCAGCTGCTGCTTTTTGAGCCAGATTTTCCTTCCACTTCAGAGCACCTAAAAATAGGGAATAAAACATTTTGCAGATTAAGGTAAAACACTGCCAGCCCCACCAGTAACTGTCTAAGAGTCAACAACGTATATAGTTACTTGATAGCTGGTCAGTCAGTTTGAACATCAGAATTGTCTATCAGTTGGTCGCCCATTAAATTCATTGGTCAGTCGATCAGTGGGTCTGCTTGTAATTCAGTGTTAAAACCTGTTTTAATACGTGTACACTATACCTTCTTCCAATTCAGATCCTGAATCTTCGTTTTCATCTTCATAAGAGTTATCATGACTTTCTATGCTGACATTTCCATCACTGTCTTCTTCACTTTCTCTGTCATTTGAAATCTCAAGAATCGATCCTGATTCAGCATCGGAATCAATTAACCTTGTCTTATCTCCAGTCTTTTCAGTTTGTGCTTTATTTTTCTTATCAGTTTTAACACCTTTGGCCGCATTTTGTTCTAAAGAGCCTGTTTCATTTTTGAACTTCTTTTTAACACTGTGATGTTCATTCCTTTTCTCTTTAACACCATGTTTCCTCTTTCTCTTCAGTGAAGGAAAATCAACTTCGGAGTCTGATTCGGAATCATTCATTGACTCCCCATTAGTATGTACATTAAACTCTTCTTCAGATTCCATTTCGTTGTGTTTTTCACTTTCCTCCTGCTCTTCTTCTTCTTCTTCTGTTTCTTCCTCTGTATCTTCTAGTGATTCACCTTCTTCAAGGCCATTCTCAGTTCGTGTTCCCGAAGCCGTTTGCTTCTTTAATGTCAGTTCTCGTCTAGCATGTTTAGATTTGAACTTAAGAACTATTTCATCACTCTCCTCCTCGTTAACCTCATTCTTCGCATCGCCTTGTTCCACAGCATCATCACTGTCACTACCAGTACTATCACTATCACTCTCATTATCATTTACATCGTCATCCTCATCACTATGTTCACCATCATTTGAAACGTCATCGTCATCCTCAACATCTTCCTCCTTATCATCATTATCAACAAAAACAGCTTTCCTTCTCTTTCGACCATTCTTATCCACCACAACTTCCTCAGAAGGTCTTGTGTAGTCTTCATCCCTACGTGTTTCAAATGCACATGCAAACCTATATGTCAAAGTTTAGTCTTGCATGTCACGTTAGCTGTGGGTAGCCGTCATTACCTGATCTTATCCTTAGTTCTTCAGCATGATTCAACTACACTTGAACCCACGTAAGAGCCTTAACCCTTTGAATCCCAGAAGTGATTAACATGTAACTTCTCCCTATAAAATCCATACATTATCCAGCAAACAGGTAATGAGAATACTCAAACTTATCAGGTGGAAGTTGTTATCTTGATCTAACACCAAATTCTCATAACCAGTTTACAAGGAAATGTGTAGCAGCTAGAGGGGAGAATTTACAATCAGATCTCGGGAGTTTCAAGGGTTAAGGGCAGTTTGTGAGTAATCAGACCCCTAAATTTAAACACAGGCCTCCTTCAAAGAGCCAGAGTAACAACAAGAATTACTGAGATACAATGAATATATGAAGTTCATATATTTTGAACTGCGGTATTAGATACGTATGATGTACGATCCTCGCAGTAGATAGCGCTATTTATGCAATAGCGAAAATCAGACCTGAAAAAAAAATTATTTAACAAATGACTCTC